CCCCGCGGTGAGTGACGGCGGACAGCGGGTGACGGACGCAGGTGCGGAAAAGCACTCGGCGCCGGTGGGCGGGGGTTCCCGATTGCAGTCGTGGATTCGCAATGATTTGGCAGGAACAGGTAGAGCTCAGCCGATTAGGAGGAGCGACGCGCGCCGAGCCCGCGTCAAATCCTCTAATTGATTCCTGACCCCCGAGAACCGGTGAGTGACGCTGGACACGAGGGCTGGAGGAGGAGATCGTTGCCGATCAGGACAGCTCACTTGTGAGCGTGAGAGATCTTCGATGGTAGGGAAGGTGCCGCACCCTTAATCTTGCCCCTGAGTAAATGATTTTCAAGAGACACGAAACTTTTGCAAAGATAAGAAGTAAATGAGTTAATGATATTTCTATTTTTTTTAAATATGTACTCAAATAAAACAATATTATTAGATAAAGTAAAAATTAAGTTAAAAATGTTGTTACAAGAATGTGAATAGAGCGGCATTCGTTTCAAATTTGGAACACGTGTATTCGTTCTTGTACAATAAAAGTATATTTCATTTCGTGTTAAGCTTCTGTAAAGTTTTGGTTTCTACAAAGACTTGTTCATTCCTAGTCACTAAAAACCATATTCTATGGATTATTGCTTTAGCATGAGTTTATTCCAAAACACAACCATTTTAAGTTTCAGTATTCACAATGTTATAATTTCATTTAGTGTGCAATACACTGAGTTCGAACACTCTCTTGATTTACAATTATTTTCTTAAATATGATAAATATGTATTTTACGAATAACTTTATCATCTTCTCCCCGCCCGCTGAGTGTGCATTCATGTTTTAATCCCACTGCATACCCTATGAATTTCATTTGGTTCGAAAACAATAGTCTGCACCCGAGACAATGGGGAAGTCTTTGCGTCTGAGGTGAATATCCGTTTAGAGAAAGCAGGGGGCGCTGAACATGTAGCCGCGTGGCAGTGGAGATGAGGGTTGAAGCCAGAGGTGCTGGGAACAAAGGCTGGCTACATCGTAATAATAGATGTAGATGTAGGAAGGATTACGGCAAAAATATCGTTTGTATTTAATATTCACTCGGACCTTCAGAGGGAAATCTACAGAAAACAATATTTGCAATTTGGCGTTGCTTGAATTTATTTTGATTGAAGAAAATATTAACTCAAATCCCATACGCAATAAGTAATGTAAGTGCAGTATTAATGCTGAACATACATCTTTAATCTTAATGACATTTAGTTACGTTGTAAAGGGCAACAAGTGAAATACATATCCAAGAAAAATGATAACATTTTAAATAACTCTTCAGAACACATATTACATATTTCATTACGCATTTTTGTTACATAGTAAAAGAGAAAAACATATATGAGCAAATACTCTGCGCCAACATGATAATTTTCGTGGATATTTTAAGCGTTCCGCGCGTATGTAAACCTTCTCTTAGCAAACTCTGCAACTTGGGCTGATGCTAACCGCTGTGATATTTTCCACATCACCGTACTCTGCCCGCGTCTGCTACAGTTTGCCAACGATCTCGTGGGCAAATACCTGAAGATATTTTGCTTTCGTGCACCTTCAGGGGCATCGTCCTCGTTACCTTTCCTCCACCTCTTTCGGTTGCTCTTGCTGTATTATCTGATTCTGAGCCTGTCCTATCTTCAATTTAAAGCCAGGTGTTCGTATTGCACTGCCCATCTAGCGTTTTATCACACTTCAAATTAACGACGTTTCCTCTTCGAAATAGCGCTTTGCAGCTCCTGCTACGTGCTAGAACTAATCTTTACCACCACTACAGCTTTCCTCACTCCAGGGAGTTGAACCGTTTCAGGCACCCACCACTCGTCAGAGATTCTGCTCTCACAACTCACGTTCGCAACTCCCGTTCTACCAGCGCGGACCTCTCCACACCCTACACACTTTTTGATGACCCTCCCCCCCCCTCGACACACGCAACCCATCGTCGTCGCCGCTCAGTCGGTTATTCTCGTCTTGAAACAAGTTGTCGGCCCCGGGGGCGCGGTATCCAAGTAGCCCGGGCCAGAGGTTGCATGTTCGAGTCCGACGTAAGGCATGGGGTCCTTGAGGCGTGGTTGGCTACTCGTATCACTACGTATTCTCTCTCAACATCAAACAATCCACCTCTCATTGTCACTCATCTATCATCATCCCTCTCATCTTCTTCCATCTCTCAGCGTTTTCCTTCGTGTAATGGAGGGCAAGAGTGGCCTGTGTTGTAGAACTCACACGACTTACAGACCACCTCTGGGTATCGGGGGTCAAATGTCGGTCAAGCCACATACAAATTTGTGTAGGGCAAAGAGGGTCTCTGGCGGAAGTTTTCGAGTACCATTGCTTTCCCTTGTCTTTCATTGCATCATCGATACATATTCTTTCGAAGAATATATTCATCACCCATCCATAAAAAATATTAATTTCTGGTATGGTTGAAAAGACTAGGGAGTGAAGATCATAATAAAATAAATAAGCATCCAAACCACCGTGATGGATCACCTGCCTGAAAAAGAAAGGTCACAGACACATAGGTTTCGTATCTTTCCCACGCTCTGTAAAGAGTACGACACTATAGGCATGCGCAGAAACCAAGTCAGAGGGTCCGCCCTCCCCCTTCTGGAAATTTTGAAAGAGGCCTTGTAAACTCACGTGATACATTTTATTTCCATAAATACGATCAATTCCTAATTTTATTCTTTTTTAAGCTGATATTTGTGGGGGAATTGATACACAAAATGTGAGAAATAAACTGTCCTAACAAAGTGGCAGCACTGCAAATTGATTAACATAACATCAAGTGTATTTTTTTATCGTATCAGAAAGTTTATAATTTGATCGTCGTTGTAGTATGTTATATTCGTTTTCTTTAAAGATGTGTCATATGTAAATAAAAAGGTTTAAAGGAAACGGTGCCCAGATGGGCGCAGATATGTAATTGCACCCTTCCTCGTTGTGCTCACATCCGTGTACGACACTCGTCGCCCACGCCGACAAATCCCCA